TTGGAAATCTTTTACATGCCAATGTTGGGCTAGTAGAAATAGAATGTAATGAAACAGCAGAATTCAGTGGATTTCCACAAACACTTCACAGTCAGCAGGAAGAATGTGTCTTGGTCAGCAGGACAGTAGGAGATGCAGGGCTGATAAAGAGGAAGAGACTAGATCTGATACTCTCCCAACATCCAGAGGGAGGCCTGGGTGGAGTTGATGAGAAGCTGTGTAGGAGACAGAGATGGGGTGTCTTGGGGAGGACTTGGGCATGCACTGGGGGGACACTGAGCCTACTTCTGGAGATGCCCTGAGCAGGGACCTCACTAAGGAGGGTCACAGCATGTGTGTTGCGTGGGGTCCCGAGTGCACACTGCATTTGCTGCATGCAAGGAATCCTAGGCCGGAGCTGACAGCTCTCCTCTCCTCCTGGCTCCTCTGAGCTGGCTACCTTGTTGGCTTCAGGGGAAGCCTGCTGCCTCCCTGGTCTTCACAGGGCAGATCCTTTCCTGGGAGAGCAGGATATGGAAGCCCCGCACCCCACCCCCTCATGTTCCGTCACATCACTCTCTTTACTCTTTGCCTTGACACGTTTGAGGGTCACACCATCTACTTGAGAACTATTTTAAGAGCCATGTGGTGTTATCAGAAAGCACAATAACTAGCAGGCTGTCTGAAAATTATCCCCGGAGTCTGTCTGGGGCCTGACCTAGGAAGTACTCCAATGGGCTGCCTTCCTGGGAGGTCCTCGGTGCCCATAGGAGGGTAAGATGACAAGGCAAAGAGTAAAGAGAGTGATGTGATGGAACATGCGACAAGTCAGGAGACAACAGCTTTTGGGTTTGCTGCTTAAAGCTCTGATTATAGGAGTAGAGGTAGTATGTTTCCAAAGTAATATTTCACTGGTTGCCTAACCTTAAAATGGCAAGAGCCTTCTTTTAGATATTACCTAGTCACAATGTGACTCAGACAGGACCACTGGCTGGTCAGGGTCACTCAACAAGCAGGGGTGGTTCCGATCGAGCCTGGGCTCTCTGCCCCCAATCCATCACTCACCTGTTAGTGTCTTATAACCCCCAAGTTCAGCATCAATTCCTGAAGCAATAAGAAACTAGTAATGAAAGAAGGAAATCCTGAAAAGTGAAAAGTCCTGATAAGGCTGAAATCAAAAGCTTAAGTGTTGAGAAAGTCCATGTGCTGAGTTTATAGTTAAGCACATAGATCAAGTATCATGTCCAGATAGAAGGGGTAGGGAGTGTAAAATTAAATTGAGTTGTAAAGGGTGGAAGTTTTATTTTTGCTCTCTTCTGCTGAATACCTTCCTTTCCTCCATCTAGCTACCTAGCTCTGTGGTGCTACAGGGAGCCTGAAGTGGCAAAGTTCTGCACTAAGCTACCATGGGGTCTCTGTGACCTGGGTCCAGTGAAGTGTTCTGCACCCTCCAGACCACATATGTATGCAGAGCAGGCCGCTAAGCCCTCCTGTCAGGCACGCCGATGACACAATTCCAGAGGAAGAGAATTCTGTTTTGTCCAGCAGAGATTACAGGGCCAGAGATGTGAGCTATTCACTGTCTCGGCACTAATAGAGTCTCAACAGCCATTTGGCTTCATTTCTACATCCACAAGACACTACAGCTCTCATTTTCCCCTCCAGCAATTAATAGAAGAGACATCTAGAGCTATTTCGGGGAACATGAAGAACCACTCAAAGTGGCCAAATTGCTAGCAGCCGGGCTTGGAAATACAAGGTAGAAATAGCGCTTCCTTCCAGTGCAGCCTCCTGCTCCTGAGACACACAGAGCAGATGCTGTCTTCAGGCTGACCCTTTTGCTGATATTGTTAGTATTTTGTCCTTTGGGGTATCATGATGTTGTGAAAGCACAGGTTTTGGAGACAGATAAGCCCAGATTTAGATTTTGGTTCCCTTTTGGGTTGTCTGGGGTAAACCTCACAGCCCTCCCAGTTCCACTCTTGATGTCCCCAGTTGTGCTTCCCAGCTCTATTGGAAGGCCATCCACTCCCTGGGCAGCTTTGGGCAGAGTGTGGCTTACCTCCCCTTCCCAACTGCTGAGGACACCTCCCTGGGTTCCAGATACTGATTCCTTAGGGTCTTGCATTCTCTTAATAGGTTCACCAGGAGGCCAAGACCTTGTTGGTTGAGGGGTGGGGGGGGGTGCTGCTGGGTGTTTAACATGGAGTTGAAAAGAGGTGCTAAGTTCCTTCCTGCAGATCACTGAGCTGCCTGAGGGGTGATGTGGCCCTCAAGATGTGGTGTCATGGTGGCAGCCCGATCATAGCAGGACGTGCATGTGAAGGTGAAGAATGGAACACATTTGAAGGATCAACAACTTCCCCCATATCTCCATTCTGCTTGGGGTCTTGTCACCTCCACCACAGAGTATGGGGTCCCCCATGTTGTCTTATGCTAGTGCCACACCTAGAGTCCTTATCTGTCTAACACCCACAGAAATCAAACACCATTCTTCTCTCCCTCCTGCCACCCTCCTGAAAGCTGACTTCTAACTGCTGACTCTGATAACTGCATTATTTCTGGAATCATTCTATGCAGCAGTTCTTAAAAAAATCAGAGCTAGGGAGATTTTAGACAGCCCAGATAAATCAATATGGTGGGCACTATTACGATTCCTTTTGTGAACTGCTTTTGAAATGCTAAATATCTTCCCAGTTGTGCTTCAAAAATCATTTGATCCTGTAAGCCCTGAGTTACTCTGAAGATCACAGCTTATTTGCTCTTTAGTCTAATCCTATCACTGGCCTTTGACTAAAAGCAATAAAACCTGATCCAAGCTGCAAGTCCTTTACATAGAGAAGCAGACAATTACAATTCTTTTTTTTCTTGTGTGTAATTTTGTGTATTCTGAAAAAGAATATGATCAAGTAAAATCAGTCTAAGCAGGAGTTTATATTAAGTTTGTCCTGGAACTGTTGACAATTTCATTCCTCGTGGGAACAATTGATTCTTAGGCAGGGCAAGTGAGTGTCAGAGTCTGCTCTCGACGTTAAGAATTGTACTCAGGGCTTTAGTTTTCTTGCTTTCACAACTTCCTGCCTAGTCTGAGATAACTGGACCCGGGGATCTCAGTCCAGACACTTAGAATGCTGTTCTGCTTCCTTTATTTCTTCAGAGAGCTGTTTCTCTAAACACATGCGTCTCACTTTTCCCTGCCGATTTTTGATTATGGGCTCTGTATGCACCTCCCGTGGTCCCCTAACCCCCGGCTTTGATAAGCGCTCATGATCGACCAGGATCTGTCTCCCTCACCCTGATGGTTCTTGCTTTTTGGCTCCTTGCAGGGAGAAGGGCCCAAGAGGGCCCAGGGCTCACACCTGAGGTAAGCGGTGAAAGGATGAAAGGATAGTGCCTCACCCAGAACCACAACATGATGTCTGACCATGGAGAAAGCTCTTCTTGGCTGCTCAGCAGCAGGCAAAGCTCAGAACAGGATGAGATGAGAACACTAAATTCCAGTGGAAATGACAGGAGGATGCAGATAAGCGGTAGATGATTGTCCCTAATGGGACCAAAGCAGAAGTTTGACACAAATGGAGCCTTGGTGACTTGCATAAAATCAAATGGAATAAAATCTTGAAAGCAAGAGAGAAGTACACAGAGCTTTCTTCAGCTCTGTGACTTGGGGTTGCTGCACAGTTCCAACCAGGCTGGATTTAGGTTTGTATGAGCCTAAGTCATCAGGGAGCTGAACACAGAGGGGCAGGTCTCCCCTGAAAACATTACCAGAAAATCTCCTGGGATGGTCTTGCCTGAGGCTACTTGCCAGCCTGGTGACTGAAACTACATGTTGGGAGGTTTTTGGGGACAGTCATTTAGGGACAACTGGGATGGGTTGGGCTGAGGGCACTTGTAGTGGTTGAACCATTGCGTGGTTATCCAGTGAGTGCCATGGGTAATACAGAAAAGATGGGAGGAGACGTTGCTTCTTCCGGGTTTATAGTTCAAACTCAGTTATTGTTATTTTGTTACTTTTTTTTTACAATCTCTTTTTCCCCACGATTTTTATGATTATGCTGTAAACACATTTTGTATGCTGTTTTCTCCTCACGTGGGCTGCTTTATGCTATCAGTTTGTAAAAGTTGTTATTAGTTGTGCTATGTCCCACCAAGTGTGTGTATTCTAATTTGGTATTTTTCTCTTTGCTTTTGTCCCCCCATTGCATATTCCTTTTATTTGTTATTTATAGAAAATGACATTGTCACCCAACCTCACACTCCTGTGTCTGCCTGGTCTAAATCATTTCATAAAATAGGTCTTATTATAGATCTATTTTATATTTATAGATAATGTATTTATAGATCTAAATAGTTCTATTATAAGATAGATCCCAGGTATTCCCAGGTACCTGACTTCCTTAGAGGTAAGAGCACATATTCAGAAACAGTTGTGATGAAGAGATTTATGTAGCCCAAAGGCCTTTATCACCTCACACAATTGGAAATTACTTAAGGTAAGATATACATATGTGTGTTCATATATAATAAAATTGTGCATATTACTTCATATAGAATCTATACATCATGTACTGCTTATTGTCTGCATGCTCGTAAATTTATACTCAGAACCAGGGTCACATGGTACAGGTGTCTTTGTGCGTGCTTGTTTCTGTGACCACAAGCCCATTCCCACAGTGACTCAGCCTGCAGGATCCCCAGAGACCCCTGGGAGCCAGCCCAGGGCCCCTAGTGCTGGGAACCAGTTGGAACATGAAAGGAAGCCAGTAGCTGAATTCCTGAGTATTTATTTGTTATTTATTTATTTATTTAATATATTTTTTACATCATTTTTCATTTGTGCACAATGTATGCATTTCCATCTTGGTTATAGTCCCCATACAAATTCCCACCCCCCTTTATTTTGACCCTAATCCCTCCTCCCCCGCCCCACCCCATAGTATGTCTCTGGTTTATAGTTGCTTGTTGCTTGTTGATTTTTCCTTTATTATAATTAGTCTTTTCTATGATCCCTTATTTAGGTTTTCTAAATTCCTGCTATGAGTGAGAGAATTCCTGAATATTTAACTGGTATGTTCCTTTGGGTTATTTCTAACTTTTCATTGCTATATACACACTTGTGCATGGGCTATTTTTTTTTCTTTGACAGTATTGTCTTAGAAAATATCCCAGCATGACAGTTTGTATATCAAACAAACCAACAAAACAAAAAGCAAACCCAAAACCCTCTTGAAAACATTACCAAAAATTACTAGTGACCTTGAGAGGAGGTCCCTGTTACAGCATTACTATCTCTGGGTGAACACGGAGCCTCCATCAGATCCCGCCTTTCAAAGAGGCTTTGGTCAATTTTGCTACATTATGATCCTGTTCATTCATTAGTACCTTCATTGTTCATTTATTCATTCATTCAGCAGTTCCTGAGCTGCTGTATCCCAGGAATTTCTGTATGTGTAGTGGAAACAAAACTAAATCTGACACATCCCTGCTATTCAGAAAATTCAGTCTAGAAGAGAAGGTAGCATGAGTGTGTGTTTGTCACTGTCCAGTCCGGCATAGAACTGGGCTGCTGTGGTGGAGATATCTGTAGTTTGGATCCCACCAAGTCCAGGTTCAATTCCCTAATCCCCGTGTTCCCAGGAACTCCTCCCACACCTCTCCTTTCCCCAGAATACACTTCTCTCTCTTCCATCTCAGTGTCCCTTGGACTCTGACATCCAAGTCACAGAACTCTCTGCAATCCTGAATCCATAACCATGTCTTCAGATCCCTACTTAAGCTATCTCACCTTCTTCAAATTTACCACGAATTCAGATTGTCTCATTCATTTAATGTCCTGATGCTTCTGGTTTCCCTGCAGCCCAGGGACTCCTGCATGGGCTCCCAGAGCCTCTGCTCTCTCTTCTCTACACAACTCAGTCTGTCCTGAGTTTCGCAATCCAGTTTGGAGGCAGAAACGATAGCCGTTTGAGTAGAGGCTGCAATAGCATGGCAGAGCCATGGCAGAGACACACGGAGCCCCTGAGAGCATTTCTTCTGCCACCGTGCCACTTGGACGGCCTGCAGGAAAAGACATGGGCAACAGCCCTTCGGAGAATGGAACAAATGTGAGTATTTCAGGGAACAGATAATTGTTTTCTTGCAGCTTCGTTAGGTGCAAGCTGTTGGCCTGACGTTTTAATGTTCTTTTCATTTTTCCTGTGTCATAACCTGTTTTGAGGAAGGAACTGTTCATTCAGTTTGATTTTTTTTTTGGCAACTCCTGCACAAAGGCAAAGTTGATAAGAAGGAAGTTTCTCCCTGGTCCCGGAGGACTGTAACAGTAACACTTTAGCTTGGCTCTAATTACAGCCACCATGACAGTTCATATGTTGTAGCAATAAAAATAACCATAAACCTTACATAATCATTAAAGTTAAGCAAACAGCCCCTCACTGCATCATAATGTACAGGTAGTTGCTAATAATCCAGGAACAGCATTGGGGCATTCAAGGAACATCTTTCCTATCTCCACAGTTTCTTAAACAACTTTAGAGACATATTTTTATTAAGTATATGCAAGGCAGATGATCTTAAACCTCAAGAAGAGTGTGCATAATAATTGTGTACTCTTCTAATGCTCTCTAAAGACCTATTCAGAGTCCATTCTGAAAGACAATAATATATCAAGAAGTTCTGCAAACTTCCTCCTAATGAAGACATGCCAATTTGAGACCAAGAATGTGGCCTCAAAGGACAAAACAACCACCGCTCTCAGTCTCTCGGTGTTTTGCTACTTTATTTCAGAGTGATTCAAAATCTAATTAAATTTCTAAACTCTAATGAAATTACAGAAGAAAAATCATTTAGGATTATATTATGTACAATTACTCACTGCTGAAAATTACAGTTAACCTCTTTCACCAGGATGAAGTCTCCTGGGAAAACCCTCATTATTTATCCACCATATAAATCTGACACTTCTCCCACTATTTACAGGTTGGAGGTAAAGCTGAATTAATTAAATGTATAGATCCTGAGCTGTAACAGACAGCTGGGGAAGAAGTCAAGGAGAGAGAGAGTAAGCATGTAGGGAGGGAGTAAGCATGTAGTTTCCCTCATGTGAGAAGTTTGGGTGAGTAAAGATTGACATTGAATTTCTTCTAACAGAGAAGTGCTCAGAGTCTGGAATCTCTTGGCAGCAGAGGTGTTGCTTGTGGAAGAGTAGGGTGAAGTCTTAGATGATGAGCTTTAAGTGTAGGATGTTAATTTCAAATTCTGTTTGGCTTTGAGAATCTTAATTTATTTTTCCTTGAGGAGACCTTGCCATCAGAGGTTGGCTTAGGGGTGCTGCCTGAATTTCTATTTTAAAAGGATTCAATAACTTGATCAATCCATGTTAATATAAGTAATCAAACTCTTTGAAGTCTTCTGCAGCTGATTAACAACTTCATGAACTCCATCTGCTTGCAGTCTTAATTTCTGTGATTAGAGTGATTTTTAAGATGCTTCCATGCTTACAAGTATTTTCTTATACAGCAATATTTGACTTTGGGGGATTTGAACTTTTAGGACCATATACGAAATAATTTGGATCATTTCTTTCATTAAGAATGAATAGAAGAGCTAGAAAAAATATTTTTAAAACATCAGTTTAAAGTTATCAGAGAACTAACAATGCAATGAAAAAGCATGAGAACAAGTTCTGAGAGAAACAACTCGAAATGAGCCTGGATGTTGAAAAGTTTTCCCCCCAGAAACATCTATCAATCCTATAAGAGGTGATTAAGAGGCTGAGGAGAGAGGGAAGCTTTAAGGGGATAGAACTCAGAATCTGCTAAGAAAGAGGAACCCTGGTAACTCCCTCAAGTTTTGGTCAGGATGTTGAAGGGCTATTCCCTGGAAGAAATGGTGAACCAGAAAAAAAGTATCCCTCAGAAGTCCAGTTTTATTTAACCTCAGTGCCTGGCATTATATTTAGGTATTGCATTTTTCACTAGTGAAATCTAGAAGACTGTCCAAAACAGTACATATCCATTTGGATGGAGATAGAATTATCCCTTAAAATGATAATATACTAAAATTTTTCATTTATATTATCAAGGACTCAATAAAATAACAGGCATATGAAAATAAAACACACTGGGGAGGGGGGAACAAGAGAAACCATAGACAATGGAAACAGAACCATAGTCAATTCAAGAAATGGATTGACTTTAAAAAACTATGCTCACACTGTCCAAAGCAGTAAAAGACTGTGAATTCTAACATAGAACTGGAAAATTTAGAAAATAATCAAGTGAAACTTTTAAACTGAAAGTGACAATAACCCAAATTAACTCAATAGTTGGTTGATCACCTGACTGCATGAAGCTGAAAACAGAATTAGTGAATTGGAAGACAGTTTAGAAGAAAATATCTATATGGAAGCATGGGAAGCCAAAAGAATTAAAACCACAGAAGATAAGAGACACAGGGCACGTAGTGAAAAACACTAAAATGTGTGTAATTAAAATAACAGAAGGACAAGAAATAATCAGAAACAATATTTGAAGAGATAATAACTGAGGGTTTTCTAAAACTAATGAAAAACATCAAGTTACAGATTTAAGAAGTCCTAAAAACTCTTAGCATGATAAATCAAAAGAAAATTACACTCCCTTATTAATTTTATATCTATATTCCTAAGCAAGTGCCTATTTTGTGCTTGCTTTATTTGGTTTTGGCATTCAGGTGAGATGATCCTTTATTAAAATGAGCAGGGCTGATTTTACTGAATTTTTTTTTTCCTGTAAAAACTTGTGTAAGAATGATTTGTTCATTCTTACATGTGATTGAACTCGCTTAAAGGCCATCTAAACATGGGCTTTTTAAAAGAAGAATATCTGTGATTAACTTTTCAATCTTTTGATGGCTATTTTTAATCTACCTATTTTTCATGGGCTAACTTTGCTTTTTATACTTTTTACCAAATTTTGCTCATTCTTGGAGTTTTTATTTTGTTCATGTACATCTTTATAAAATTCTTTCTTCCTTCCTGTATTTGTTTATTTAAATGAAGTATCATTGTTTTACATCCTTGTTAACATCTTGATAGTATAGGATTTCTCTTCTCAGGTCACTGTAGCTTGCCCACCACCAAACCACCATAATCTTCTTAAAAACGCTCAATAGTGTTAAAATGTCTTATTTATTTATATGTCGTTTCTCTTTCCTTCCTCCACAAGTCTTGCTAAAAGTCTATTGTATTGGTGTTTGAGCTAGTGCTTTGTTAATCATTTGCATCATGTGGTTCTTTTCTCCCCCTTTACCTTATTCATAAATCTCTCAATTTAATGCAGGGCACATGGATGAAAGAATATCTCCCAATCTCTTTCCAATAAAGCCTGATCATATGAGTAAATTTTGTGCCAGTGAAGTCTAAGAGGAAATGATGAGTCACAAAATTTGAGTCCTTCTGTGGTAAGTATTAATATATTAATATGAAATTCTTTATAAAGAATTATCTTCTTCTTCCCTTGGTTTCCAAAATAGAGGCTCAATATGATGTTTTCCAACTATAATTGTTTATTTCTCCCTATAATTCTTTCAGTTGTTCCTTTATGTATTGTGAAATTACATTTGTAGGTTCCTACTTATGTTGATCATTTTCTTTTCCTTCTTTTTAAAAAAACATTGTAATTTGTATTTTTGCATTATAATAATTTGCATAATTTTCTGTCATGGTATTTTGCACTTTACATTTTATTTTATTCAATATTAAAATTGCTACCTTAATTTTTGTATTTGCTATGCTTTTTGTTGCTTATTTGCAACTTTTATAAATTTCTTTTAAAAATGTCTTTGTTTAACAGCAAATGGACAACATATGCAAACTTTTAAAAATCCTTTATTAGTGTTTATAACTTCCAGTATCTTTTATTGGCTTCTTAAATAACTCTTTTAACTGGAGTATTTCTTATGTGCTGAAAAAGATTCTGAAATTTTATGTCTGAGAATATCTTTATTTTACCTTGGCATTTAAATGAGAGTTTAGCTGGATATAAAATTTTAATTAAATGTTCTTTTCTCCCAGTAATCTATTTTATGGTGTATCCATTGTTTGGTTGAGATATTGGCTATACCCTGATTCCTTTTCCTTTGTCAGTAATGTGCATTTTTCCTCTAGAAGCTCTTAGAATTATTTTTGTGATGCTGTTAAATTTCAATAAAATATAATTAAGTCTCTCACCCAATCCCAATATTCTGTTTAACATTCCTTGAGTCATTTCATCTTTATTACTGAGAAAGTTATTTTTTCTCCATTTATATCAATGTTAACACTTTTACTTTTACACTCTAAACTTCACATTCATTTTGTTCTTTCTGACATTTTCAGAGAGATCTTATATCTGAATTTTCAAGGCTCACTAATTAATTTTCTGCAGTATTTTTCTTCTACTAACCCCTTCTATAGTGCACCTTAGTTATATACTTTCATACTGAGTGACTCCATTTTTATTGTTTTTCATAACTGCATGTTCCTCCTTAATGTTTCCAATATCCTTTCTTATCTCTTTGGGTATTTTTATGCCTGTGTTAAATTATTATGTTTTCTCTTCTTCCATTAACTCAAATTCCTCTGTCATCATATGTTTTTTTTTTTTTTAAAGATTTATTTATTTATTTATACAAGCACTGGGTACAGTTAGAAGCACGGGAGGGTGAGAGAATTCACCAGAGCCAGAGGGGAGAGCAGAGCAGGCAGACTGACGAAGTACACTGCTGAGGGGAGCAGCGGGCAGCAGGAGAGGTCTGCATGCCATGTGGGACCCTCACCCGGTGGCCGGGGATTGAACTGGCGCTGCAGAGGCTGCAGGCAGCTCTGCAACCCAGCGCTCAACCGCTGCGCCACTGGGAAGGCCCTCATCATATGTTTTTTTACTTTTCATACTCAGCACTTGTGCTTTTTAAAAACTTTGCTATTTTTCCCTGTGAACACATATCATCTTAAGATGATCAGTTGCCTCAGTTGGTGATCTGGACCAGCGGAGCAACAAAATCCTAGCTCCAATTGTGCTTTATTGGAAGAACTGGGAGCATGATGGGTAGGTTCCTCTGGCTTTATGATGTGGACATAAGCACCCATTATTTGCATGCCTTTTTCTACACCTGAGCCAATGGACTTAGCAGTCCTTAGGGGGCTGCTTGGTAATTCAGTCCTCCTCTCGGTTATATGTATCAAGTGGCTTCTTATTACTCCTTATGATAACCATATGAGTACATTTTCATTTCTCTTTTACAAATGAAGAAACTAAGACCAAGAGAAGTTAAGTTTAGGGTCACGGTCACACTTTCCCTAGCCTATGCTCTTAATCACTACATTATAGCCAATTTTTAATTTCTTTTTAACAGATCAACTCAGCTCCAACATTATTTCTATTTCCAAAATTTTTGACTTCTTCTCCATTCCAAGTGTTACTGCTTTAGTAAGCAATATATCCTAGCAGCATTATTACCCAAGTGGTAAGATCTTTGGACTTGTGCAGGTAAGATGAGATTTTTTTTCATGTTGATCCATTTTCAGAATCTTTATGTAATGACATCTGTTAACATAAATCAGCATTTACACTAAACTCTTATTATTCCAGGGTAGAATTCCATCTGCAAATTGGGAATTTGTAGGTGTTTCAAGTTTTACTTCCTCAGCAGAGAAGCCAGGAAAGATTTTAATTCCTCCTGAGAAAATGAGGTGAAGAAAATGAACACGCAAACATTTGGTGTGTTCTCGAAGAAACTTCCTAAGCTTCTTCTACAGCATCACTTAAAATGACCAGATAGCAGACAATCTGTTATTCAAGGTGGAAATAAAGAAATAGGCATCTGGGTTCATGTTTATGTTTTTACCAGTGTTCAGATTTGGTGAATGCTAACATTTGCAACCTTCTAAGAGATATGGGCTGAGAATGTAGTGTCTCTTTTCGGAAGCAAGGGAAATACCACATACACCATAGTCTCCTAATTCTCACATAGCCTAAACATGGTCAAGAATGGGTGAAATTGGATGCCTACACTGAGAAAGATATTCTGTCCCCTAAATGCTCTCTGAGCTAGCTCTCTAAACAAGTCGTGCCTTGGTTTCTTTGACCAAGAGCCCCTGAGCTTGAGGCTTTGTGTTATCAAAGTTGGTTTTATTCCACAACTTCCCCGAAGTCACTCCAGAGGATGCCCAGTTCCTTAGAGCCCTTGGGACACCAGAAAAAATTTGAGACTGAAAGTTGTTTTTAGGTTTTGGTGGTTTCATTATTTCAAGATTGATTGCTTTAATAATGAAGTTTGCATTAGTACCTTAATGGACTTTATACTTTTTATCATGACCTGGCCATATTTGAGAAAATTTAAAATCATAATGTTATTCTTAGGTCAGCAATAGAACTGTGTACAGGCATGCAGAGATAGGAAAAGAAATTAAACCCCATGTATTTAAAGGCATAAATATAATTTTTATAATCAGTAATGATATTAAAAGAACACCACATATGAATTAATGGTAGATTGGATAACATTTATGTATATGATTTCCTGTGGCCCAAACCAATATACACATATCTTAACTTTACCTTATTTCTTCTAACCATAGTCCAAGGTTTCACAGTTCTTTAATTGTAAAAGGCTTTGGGCAAGTGCATTATACCACACACCATGTTTGCCTACAATCTTTACCTTTCTTCTTTCCCTGGAAAGAGAGGTATTTTTATCAATTTGCTTACTGAAGCTAAGCTGTCTGCTATTTCATTATAGACTTGTGCCAGTTGAGGTTGGTTATGAGTATTTTACTTTTTGCTTTGATATTTAATTTTCAATAATTCTTTAGTGAACATCTTGATATATACATCTTATATATTTGTTCAATTATTTCCTTAAAAATATGCCTAAAATTTGGATTAAGGGGTCAAAGCTTGTGTAAAATTTTAAAGCTATTAATACTTTCTAATAGAATGGTTGAAACTCTTGAAATTTCTATCAACACAACCTTGTTGGTATAATTATTTGCTTTAATTATATTTTGATCATGCTACATCCTGTAAATATACAATTTCCCATAACATATGTGGGTTATGAATAAAGATGCTATAAAATTTATGATCCAAACAAGGGATTTTGTCAAACCTTTGGGAGTGAAAATGTATGCAATTATAATTGCACTAAAATAATGGATATAAGCCAAGACTTACCTGGGAAAATCTTGGTACATGATCATCGCTCTAATGAGGCATAATAATACAAATATCTATGCATCCACCTTATAATTAAAGAACTTGAACCTTACCTCTGTAAAAAATTGAAAATACCTGATATTTTCTGCATTATAGGATTTTTCACTATTTGATTGAATTTGTAAGCAAGTATTAAGACTCTTGCAGCTTTCTGTTTTCCTTGAATCTGTTTCAACAAGTTACAATTTTTGGACACTGTGCTGTCTCACCTAAGCTACCAAAGGTTAATGTGTCACCACTACTGTTTCTGTACTTGTCTCCTTTTTATTCTTATTGCTACTTGTTTTTGTCTTTTTTATCTAGTCTGTGAGAAGTTTGTCACATATTCATGTTTTAAACACAAACTTTCAGACTCCCTGAGCATCTTTGCTTTCTGGCTCATTCATGTTAAATCTCATATTTATTACCTCTTTTCTTCTTCTTCTTTTTTTTAAAGATTCATTCATTTATACAATAACTGGGGTGCAGGCCAGATGTGCAGGAGGGTGAGAGGATTCACCAGAGACAGAGCGGGGAGCAGGACAGGCAGACAGACTGAAACACTGCTGAGGGGAACAGCAGGTGAGGCAGGAGAGGTCTGCTGCACCATGTGGGATTCTCCCTGGCTGGCCAGGAATTGTACCTGCACTGCAGAGGCTGCGGACAGCTTCACAGTGCGGCGCTCAACCCACTGCACCACTGGGGAGGCCCTATTACCTCCTTTCTTTAAAAGAGTTACTCTTTTCCAAACTTCTCTAATAGGTTGTTTGACTCTTTTCTTTTTCAGTCTGTCCTTCTTTTCTAGGAATTTACATGTATACACTTCCTTCTGTTTTGTGCTTTATTTGTTATGAAAATCTGACATGAAAATTTTCATTATCATTGATATCAGTTCTAGCTATCTTTAATTTTCACCCTAAATTTTTCTTGAGTTTTTATGAGTTACTTAGAAACATGTTTTTAAATTTTCAGACATATGAAACTAATTTTTGTTACTGTCATCTGATTCAGTTGCATTGTGGTAAGAAATGTGGTCTCTATGTCATCCATTCTTTGGAATTTTGAGAGTAATTTTATGATTCAGATTGTGGTCATTTTTGGGGGGCTTAGTATTGCATATATGCTTGAGAAAAATGACAATTTTCTCATTGTTGGGTGTAGAGTTCTATTGAAGTCCTATTTAAGTCAATGTATGTGTTACATCTTTCCTATCTTCTCATTAAATTTTTTCCCCCATAATGATAATGGACTTGATGCTTTCTCCTGACTTATACTACATGCATGTGTCAGTGTGCTCTGTGGCTGGTGTTGAAGCATGGTGGTGGGGATGGGAGGGGAAGCAGCTTCCTCTCATGGCCATGACCATTCTGGAAGGGGGGACAGTGCCCTGAGTGTCCTGCAGGACCTCAGAACCACTGGGAGTGGGGCTCATTCTCTTAGACTGACAGAGCCGGTTACCTTTCCAACCACAGGTAAGGTTCACATCCGCACTGCCAGTAGACTCATCCTGGCTGAGGTAAGTAACTGAGTTAATGCTTTTATTCAAAAAGAGCTGTTGAGACCAGGTGCTGCATCAGGCATTGGGCTAGGTGCTGTAGCCCCAGCTCTCATGTGCTCCCAATGGAGTGAGTCTCCAGGCCCATATGATGGGAGCAGCCTCAGGTTAAGAACCAGGCATCATTTTAGGAGCAAGGGGTGGGGTGTCCACTCTGGTTGAGGGGTGTACACCATGAGATATCAAACAAGGGGTCACGCCCAGTAGGTTGGCTGGACGTCAGGTCGTCTCTTTGTTGGGGCAAAAGGATGTCCTGAACAAACTCCACAAACTCAGGTTTTATGGACCCCATCCTCACCCTAGACCAAAAAGATGCAAGGCACCAAGGACTACAAATCCCATAATGTCATCAGCACCGAAGGGAGGATTGCTGGGAACTGAGGGTGGAGTTAAGAAGCCAGGCTTGGTATATAACCAGAGGCACGTGGGTCTTGGGGGTGCTTGATTTTTCAACGACTTTCAGCATGCTGTTAGGATCCCAGCTCAGCAGGACTGGTAGGATGCATTCACCAATATATCTCTCTCTTTCTCCCCATATTATTCCTCTCTTCATTTCCCCTTTCTGTAAATAAACTCTTTTTTTTTTTTTATAGAGGCATGTTTTTATTTATTTATTTATTTATTTTATTTGTTTGTTTTGTTTATACAAGCACTGGGTACAGTCAGAAGCATGGGAGGGTGAGAGAACCCACCAGAACCAGAGCGGGGAGCAGAGCAGGCAGAAGGACTGAAGTACACTGCTGAGGGGAGCAGCGGGCGGCAGGAGAGGTCTGCACACCATGTGGGATCCTCCTCCGGTGTCCGGGGAGCAGCCGGGGATCGAACCGGCGCCGCAGAGGCCGCAGGCAGCTTCGCAACCCAGCGCTCAACCACTGCGCCACCGGGGAGGCCCAGTAAATAAACTCTTTATTAACCTTTTTGTATGTGCCCGCAGTTGAGTCTCATTTAAGTCCTTTTTAAAAGGGTGTGGGTGAGGACCCACACTCAAGCAACCTATTTCACATTGGGGTTGCCCTTTAACCTCTTCAGATTCTAGCTCATGGGGTATATTGAGCCTCTGTATTTCTCCCTTCTTGGTTCAAGTAGCTAGCAGACACTGTGTTTTCTGGCCTCAGGAGGTTGTGACAAGGTGAAAAGCAGAAGTTGCTGCAGAAACTTCCCTTCCTGGGGTTAAGTATGAAAGGTCAAGCTCTGAGAAAGATTTTGAGAGGTATTCTAGAGCAGAAGGGACACAACGGTGTTTGGTTGACTTGCCCCTTGTGGAAACATTTAAAAATGAGTTGCCATTTTAATAATGTTAATTCTTCTAATCCATGAGCAGGGGATGTCTTTCCATTTCTTTGGGTCTTATTCTATTTCTTTTAACAGTGTTTTATAACTTTCTTTGTATAGGTCCTTCAACTCTTTTGTTAAGTTTATTCCCAAATATTTGATTTTTTTGGGTTTCAATTATAAAAGGGATGGTTTTCTTGATTTCTTCTTCTGCAGATTGATTGTGTATAGGAAGGCTACTGATTTTTGTGTATTGATTTTGTATCCTGCCACTTTACTAAATTGGTTGATTATTTTGATTAGTTTTTCTGTGGAGTTCTTAGGGTTCTTTATGTATATTATCATATTGTCTGCATAAGTAAAAACTGGAAACAACCCAAATGCCCAAAAATAGATGACTGGATCAAGAAGATGTGGTATATATATACACAGTGGAATGCTATTCAGCAATCAAAAAAGATAAACTAATGCCATTCACAGCAATATGGATGGAAGGAATTATGCTCAGTGAAATAAGTCAGAAGGAAAAAAAAAAGATTGGATGGTTTCACTTATAGGAGCAATATAGGAGAACCAAATAAGACATCAGGGGGAAAATAATAACAATGCAAAACACAACACAACAAAACAAAAACAAATAGATCATTATAAACCAGAGACATCCTGCAGGGGAAGGGGAGGGAGAGGGATTGGAAGGAGGGAGGGAGGAGCACAGGGGACTGAGGTGATGGTGCATGGGCGAATTGGTGGTGGAAATTCTATGGGGACTACACCTGAGTGGAAAAAAGCAATCATTGTTTAAAAAGAAACAATGATATAAATATATAAAAATAAATAAATTAAATAAAAAAAATGATTTGCCAACACTTGAAAGTGATTCACACAAACACAGGGTCTCTGTGTTCCTGGAAGCCCTGGGCCTGCTTGAAGTTCCCCCAGGCACTTCCCTGGCCCCCCAGTGATTGCTACAGGCCATGGCCTCTGTGCTGGCATTTTCTTACAGTTCCCCTAGGGCATAGTGAAGCATTTCTCTTTCAAATATCTCCACTATGTGAGATAAAAATGTTAAAGTCCACTCAGGAGAAGCAAGGGAGCAAGAGAGGTCTCTGGAAGAGCGGAGACTTATACTCCAGAATGAAGCAAGCTGTTCTTCTTGTGAGCAGCCTCTCTAGTCACGACCATCTCTTCCACGAGACTCAGAAGGAGAAAAAGTGGGATCTTCAGAGGGGCCCAGTGTATGTCAGTGGCCACCAGGGCAATCTGATCATCTCTGACTGGACAGCTGGTCTGGGCAGTGGGTGGCACCCGTGCACAGCACAGGGTGATGGGGCAGCTGCCAGCCATGGCTGGGCAGAGCCCAGCCCTCACATTCTGACGAGGGGAGGTAAGCATGCCAGACACCCCTGCGGCAAGCTCTAATGTCTAGGTCACCAGGTGGTGATGGGGGTCTAGCAGACGTCATATTTTAAGAGAGTGCAGCATAGTAGGCTGGGCTTAGTGAGTTAGCTTGGTTGTGAATTTGACTGAGGGAGCCCAGGGATGCCAAGAGTTTCATTTCTGCTAGCCCAATTGGATGGGGCTCAAGGATGGTCTCAAGTTGATTTGCCTTTTATTTATTTATTTATTTTTAAAAAGATTTATTTATTTATTTATTTATACAAGCACTGGGTACAGTCAGAAGTGCGGGAGGATGAGAGAATTCACCAGAGCAAGAGCAGGGAGCAGAACATGTAGAAGAACCAAAGTACACTGCTAAGGGGTGCAGTGGGCATGGCAGGAGAGGTCTGCGCGCCATGTGGGACCCTCGCTGGTGGCTGGGGATCGAACTGGCGCTGCAGAGGCTCCAGGCAGCTTCGCAACCCAGTGCTCAACCTCTGAGCCACCAGGGGAGGCCCTGATTTGCCTTTTAAAAAGTGCCATTGCTTGAATACCTGGGTTGGTGATTTGATAGTCTAGCAAGTATAAAGAAGTACAGAAACATGTGGCCCCAGGTGTGCTGTTTGAGCCTGTGTTGACAGTCAAAGCTCCTCCAGGCTAGAAACATGACTTGAGGTCTGTGCAATTGCCTGGGAAAAAATTACGGCTCTATCCTCTAATTTCTAACACACAAACTTAACATTTTCCTTCTAGATTGAGTGCAGTCTATATACCCAGGCGAAATACCACCCAGGTGACTTTATTGCTGGCAGGAATTGGGGCTATTTCATTTCCATTCTCACGGTTACATATATCGCTAAATATCCTTTACTCTTAACAGATGTCAAGGTTGTGGGAGTTACTTCACTGGTCACTGAATCTTGCTATTTACTATGTGGATAAAGATGTATCTGTATTTCTAAATCTAAATGTTTTGTATTCCAATGTATCTGGCTTCTCTTACCTGTCCTACTTTATTTGGGGCCCACTGAAAAATTCTCTAAGAATAAAGTCATAGACCTCCCCAGGCTTAAAGAGGTCTATGGCATGAAAACAGTGCTTGGTCTGGGGGGCAGTTCCTGTTCCTAACCCAAGGCTGGGGTGGGGGTTGGGAAGAGTACTGCAGGAGCAGGGTGTCCCAACACCAGACCAGCTTTGTTCAAATCCTCCTCTGAGAATTACCAGTGGGGATCCCCGGGTAAGAATATGCACCAAGCTACACTTGGGTTCCCCTAAAGGAAGATTTACAGGGGATAATTTTGGGTGATAGCTAGTTCCCCAGCATAGCATGTCACAGGGAGACCCAGCTCCCTTCCACAACCTGGCAGAGACCAGGACCCCAGGGACTTCCCTCCCCCCTGCCCTCTGAAGGGCTGACAGGAACTGAGAGCCTCCGGCTGTGGCAGCAGCTGGCTTCCTTCCCTGTCACGTGGGACTTGGCTCTTGTCTCCAGGACTCAAGATTACACAGCTCCTTGTGCCTGTCCCTGTGCCTGTCCTGCAAGGAGCCAGGAGCAGGGAACCAGCATGGGTCTGGAGGCTGGTGTGCTGAGAGTCTTCTTCTTGTTGGGTGAGTAAATGAGTGAAGAGTAAGGAAATGGGGTGGACATCACTTTTCTGTGACAGGGAGTGCGAAACTGGGGGACCATTAGGCTACTGGGGCTTATTTCCTCAAGTATAGAATTGTCCCTTTGGATAGATTCCTTTTCTCACTTTCACTTGACAGTGAGCGACTGTTTTGTCTGCTTCATGCTAGCTGCAACTTCAGTGTTTCTGGGTCAGGAAGGATAGGAAGGGACAGGTGGCAGACAGAGTTTTGGGCTTGTAACCCAGGCAAATTGGCTTTAAACTGTGGCTCCCTTGTTGACAAACTGCAGAAAGCTTCTTAGACTCTCTGAGTTTCAGCTGCTGAATCAATAAAGTGCAAGATAATAATGTTTATCTTCTAGGATTGTGTGAGAGAATTAAATTAAATTTAAGTCAAATCAAAATAATTATATCAAATGACAAAAGTCGGTATGTAGAAGCTTCTCTGCAGCCAGTGGTGGATCAGTCTTTCTATGGAGTGAAGTAGTCTCTCTTCATCACCCAGAGGTATCTTTGATTGTTAAAGTCATGTTTAATTCTGTGCACCCAGAAGAAAGAAGGGAGAGGGGTAGGGGCAGACACTGATAGGAAAGTAGGGTCAGCCATAGAGAGAGAAATATAAGCCCTGAGAAACAGAGAGGAAGAAACTGAGATAGAGATCAAGGGCCAGGGTGATGGTTAGATGCATAGTCAGCCCAGGAAGGGTGGAGTCACGCAACTTTGCAAAGTCCCCTTTGACATCACTGCTATTTCTTAAAAAGGCAGCAGCTATCCCTCAAATACACAAAGATGCTCTTTCCCAGAAGTTGCACTGGGTCAAGACCAAAAAGGCAAGTAGTCTGTCTCTAGATTTAATCTTCTGTCTCCGGAGCATTAGCTTTTATCTTGGATGTGGGCAGAATGATTTCACCGTTAGGACTCTGTTGAAGCCTTCACCAAGCCCAGAGAAAGAATACCTTCACCTCTGAGAGTGAGCTTGTCAGACAGATGGACAGTCTCTGCATCTGTCTTTTACTTGTGGAAATGGGCCCTGATGGTCGCCACCAGGGGATGCTGAGAACCAGAGGGCAAGAACAAAGGGCGTGCAGGGTAGATCAGGGAGCATGCCCATAAAGCAGTGCAGGGGGCAGGAGCTTAACCTTTGTGATTTTGCTCTATCAGATATACATACCAATCTGTCCTGGTGGGAAGGCAGTTAAATTGAGGAAATGAGATGGGAATAATGTGCAAATCATATGAACAGGCAATTCATTCAAGAATTACAAATAGGCAATATTGTTTTTACAATGCTCAAGTTCACAAATAACAATAAAAGAAATAATAACACATTTTTGAGGTCTCTACACGTGTTGCATTCTCTGTTAAACACTTTAATGAGCTCATAGAATTGCCATCCCCAATGGCAATTCTATGAAATAGGTCTACTACCAGCTGCATCTCATGGATGGGTTTTACTTGGCTACAGTATCACGGCTTGATAGTGCTTTCAGATACTATTACTAGAGACAACAGTGCTCAGAAATTGTCTAAATCTATCCCACCCTAAATGGCAATCCTTGCTCTGTTATTTACTAGCCCAGGCTGGTTAGTCACTACCTCTGTGCTCAGTTTTCTCATCCGTAACGTGAAAATAATGATATTATCTACCTCATCAGACTGTTGAGAGAATTCAGTCTGTCACCACATGGAAAGTCCACAGCCAGTAGCTGACATAAGGAGAGACCCCACTACTGGATATTCAGGGGACTCACAGAGCCAGAAGGCAATCTGACAGTGTGTAGCAAAATGTAAGCTGTTTGCCAACTTCTACCCTCAGGAATGTATCCTAAATTAAATAATAGTGTAAAAGCTCCTCAAAATATTGAATAGGATGTTATTCATCACTAATAATTGCAGTGAAAACCACAGATAAGTGATTAGCCATCAGAATCTGGTTAAACCAAGAATGTCCTAACATTTTCAGAAATAACCAATGTGTTTAAATAACTGACAGATTTCTTAGAACTGACATGGAGAAAAGAGAGGGGACAAAGTGACAGGTTTAGAGTTATTATATTATGTAGTTATAGTTATACTTTGCCTGTTTGTTTACCACCCCAGGAACTGATTGGAAGAAAACACAGGCAAGACCTACTAGTATCCTTTACTCTTTTAAGGAAGTCAGATGATGAGGTATTTTTTGGTCTTTGTATTGAAATTTTTCATAATGGTCATATGTAGTTTTAATTCCAATGAGTAAATTTCTACAAACAAAGAAACAGTATGTTGGTCTGTTGAAAGACGAAAGAAAAACTAGGACTTTCACTTTGTGAACTGGGGAAAGGAACCTTGAGGTTAATGTAGTGTGACCTACTAACTGATGACCCGGGAGGGCAGGTGGCCAGACCAACCACCAGAGTGTGTGTGGGAGCTGGGTTTTTGGGGTCACAATGGGGAACTAGGGGAGACTCTACCTAGTCCCTCCTGGTGGCATCACATGGGACCCTGCAAAGAGAAGTCAGTTGCACTATTCCCCACACCCAGAGAAGTTGTTTCTGAAGCACCAAGTTTTGAATATTCTAAAAATATCTTTTTTTTTTTTTTTTTTTTTTCTAAAAATATCTTTAAAACTGAAATTAATGTAACATTCATATTCCCTACACCTTGAATGAACACATTTTAAAAATGTGAGGTTTTTTTTTTTTTAAATGTGTTTAAGAGTAGATAAATCAACATATCCATTAAAGATACAGAGCATTAGATCTGGAGTTAAAGCCCTTTGACTCCCCTCCTGTTTTGCTTCCCTCCCTCCCTCTCCAGAGGAAACAGTCCCCTGCATTGGCTGCACTTCCTGTCCTGTGCTGTTAACTCTCCATGAAGGTTAGTTCCTCAGCATGCTTCATTATCTGCCTTTTCTGATATGACTCCAATTTACTCATTGCAACTACATATCTGATTCTGTGTCACAATGTATTACCTGTTTCATACCCCTCTTTGCATGACCACTGATGCTGCAATGACCTTTCTCAGTCTGTCTCCTGGAACCCACAGCAGCTGTTTTTCTAGAAGATATACCTGGAGGAGGAGCTGCTATGTTGTGGGTAGGCACAATTCTCAGTGTACTGGCTATTGCCAAATTGCTTTCTACCAATAAGGTCTGGACATATTTCTCCCTGGATGTATCCAGCAGTACTTTATATTGTCACATGTCTCATTCTTTGCCAATCATAGAGTTGTAAAATATCATTCCAAATTTCTAGGTTATGCGTTCCAGATTACTAGTAAGAATAGCTATTTCCCCTATTTTTATTATATAGACAGCTTTTTTCCCCCCTGTAACTTCCTTGTCAATTGTTTCAGCCAAGGTTTTTTTGTTATTGGGCACTTATATGTTTTTTATGGATATTAACAATTTGTCATTTTAATATGTTGCAAATAACTTCTTTGATTATATTGCTTATCTTTTATCTTTGTGGCATCCTTTATTCTGCAGAAATCTCTAAATGTGATATAATCATATCTATTAGTTTTTTCTTTTGGTGTGCTTTCATGTTTTGTCTGTAAGATTTTTTTTAACTTTAAAGTGGTGGCATTTTTTATATTGTCTAATTTATTTGGAATTTATTTTTATGTATGGCCTAAAGAGAGAATCTATTTTTTCCTATAAATAACATCAATTATTTGAATACCATTTATTTAATATTCTTTCCTTTATCTCCTGCTTTGCAGTGCCTCTATTCTATATCCGTTAATATATGTTTGAACTATTAATGGGCTTCTTATTTTGGACAGCTTTTAGCATCTGTCTATAATTGAGTCTATAATTAGTATCTCTTTTCTCCCCCCTTTTCTTCCTCTTCTCCCTCTGCCCCACCCTTAGCTCTCCCATGAACAATGCATTTCTTGAAAACATTATAAGGGTCCGCTTCCCTAGAGCTGATTCTGGCTATGGTGCCACTCCTAACACTATCACGTAGACTTCATTCATTGCTCACAGACAGCCCACAAGGTATACGCTCTTATTATTATCATGCCCATTTTCACAAATGAGGAATGAGGCACAAAGCAATAAAACAGTTTATCAGAGGTCTTGTAGCAGGAGTACTGGTGTTCGTATGGAATCATTCTGATGTCCCAAGGCTATTTTTTATCCCTGATATCAAACTGCCTCTTAGTGGAGAACAGAAATTGGTGTCATCACAGAAAAACTGACATGACTTTTTAAACTATTATTTCAGTTGTTTACTCCAAAATGATTCATACTTAAAGTTGCAAGAATAAGAATAATACAAGGGATGTATGATTTGCTAATTTCTTAAACAGATTGCTCTATCATAGGTTCTCTTTATAAATATTTATATGTAGTTATATATGTCATGCATATATATATATGAAAGAGAGCTATTTTCTTTCTTTTTTTTTTTTTTTAAAGATTTATTTATTTATTTATACAAGCACTGGGTACAGTCAGAAGCACAGGAGGGTGAGAGAATTCACCAGAGCCAGAGCAGGGAGCAGAACAGGCAGAAGGACCGAAGTACACTGCTGAGGGGAGCAGCGGGTGGAGCAGGAGAGGTCTGCGAGCCATGTGGGACCCTCGCTGGTGGCCGGGGATCAAACCTGCGCTGCAGAGGCTGTGGGCAGCTTCGAAGCCCAGCGCTCAACCACTGCACCACCAGGGAGGCCCGAAAGAGAGCTATTTTCCCTGAGTCAATTGAGAATATGTTGTATGCATCATGCCTTTTTTTAATTCCCAAATACATTAGTGTGTATTACTTAAGAATAAAGATAATCTCTCTTATACAACAGCACAGTTATGAACTTCGGGAAATTTCACTTTGACAAAATACTTTCACATAGTGCACTGATTATAGTCTTTTATTTTTATTTGATCAAATTGCGTCCCTTTGTAGCCTCCTGTCTTTCTCAGTAAAGAGCCAGAGAAGGATTGGGCATTGCATTTAAAAATCATGTCGGCCCTCCTTAGTCTGAAATAACCTTTGTTTTTTTTTTAAATAACATTGATATTTTATATACTTCCATACTCTTTTATTTCATAGAACATTTGGGGTTTACCCAATATTCTTATTGATTATATTCTGTCTACCCCATTCCATCCCAGAGATCATATAAAGGATGTGTCCTTGTAGGGTTACACGTTTGCAGATATAGGATATCCACCTAAGAGGGGCCCCTGTACTTTGATAGACTGATACAATGACTGACATAATGAAAAAAGACTTACAACTAGGTCTTGGATTATTGCTGTTACAATTCTAAATAGATTATTTACCAATTAACTACCAACCTATAAATATTTTAAAATTTTTCTGAAAGATTGCCCTAAATATAGCTATTGAAAACATCTGGTGAAGTAGTTCTAGGCATTTTATTAGAGGTTTGCACCTTCCTTTTTTCAAAAGCTGCCATATAAAATATTACTGTGGATTCTAATTCCAACCAAAATGTCAGCCACCTGTCTCTCTGTTTTAATTCAGTTGGAAAGCACTCACTGAAATCTATGTATTATTATAATCATGATGATAAAAGAAATACAATATCACTTTAATTATGTTTCAGTGCCTAAAACATTCTTCATTGAAGGAGCCAGAGTTATTGAAGAGAGCAGAGGCTCCCCCACCCCCTTAATTTATAATGAAAAGATGGCAGAGGCCTGAGTAAAGAGAATTAAATTCGTTTTTATCTTACAAGTCAAAGTCATCACTTTATTCCTTGGCTCTTAGTCCCTGAGATCTTTGTAAAAATCTTTCCTGACAGCTTTTCCCCTGTTTCAGATTCCTGCCAAGACAATGGTTCACAATCTTGTGGTGTGTGGATTCTAGTGAGAAAGAATTCTTGATGTATTAGTTTTCTTTTGCTGTGTAACAAATGTAACATGGTATCACAAATGAAACAAAAGAAAATTAATACACAGGGTATCTCAGATAGTCCCCAGAGGGTAAAGGAAGAATCCCAGGAAGACAAGGAGAAATTTCCTAACAGAGCAAGAGAATTCCTTTCCAAATTTCTAATTGGATGACTTACTTTTCTCTTTAACTATTGAATCTTAAGAGTTCTTTCTATATGCTGGCTATGAATTCTTATCAAATATGTGCTCTGCAAATATTTTCTGTCTGTTTCTACTTTGTCTTTTCATCTTTTTCACAGTCTTTCATTGACAAAGTGTTTAATAGTACAATGTACTGTTTTTTTTTTAAATGAATCATGCTTTTGATATCATGCCTGAGAAGTTTTCACCAAGCCCTAAATCGCTAAGATTTTAGCTTACATTTTATTCTAAAAGTTGTATCATTTTATTTTTATTTTTATTATTTTTTAAAGATTTATTTATTTATACACATAAGAACCAGGGTACAGGCCAGAGCTGTGGGGCATGAGAGGATTCACCAGAGGCAGAGTGGGGAACAGAACAGGCAGATCAACTGAAATACACTGCAGAGGGGAGCAGCAGGTGAGTCAGCAGTGGTCTGCTGCACCATGTGGGTATCTCCCTGGCCGGAGATTGAACTTGTGCTGCAGCGGCTGTGGTGAGCTTCATAGGTTGCATCTTAACTCCTTGTGCCACCAGGGAGGCCCCTATTTTTCACTTTTAAATCTGTGATTCATTTTGAATTCATGTGTGAATTTAGGTCAAGGTAACTTTTTACTGTGGGGGATATAGATATCCATTTGCTCCAGCAATACTTGTTGATAAAACCACCCTTGTCAAAATCAGCTGGCCATCTGTGAGTGGGTTAATTCTGATTTGTCTCTCTTTTGCAGTGATGTGTCTGTCCCAATGCTGATAGCACACCGATTTCCCCCCTTATATTACTTTTCAAATTTGTTTATATTGTTTTTCATATTTTTACTGTATCTGATTCTCCCCACAGGAGTAGTCCCTGTAAATATCCCACCATCACATCACCTGTGATCCATCACCATGGTCCCTTGTACTCTTCCCACCCCTATTTTGATCTCTTTTCCTCCCCCTCCTATGCTTTAAGCCTCAGATCTATAGTTCCCCTACAAGTTTTGTCTTTTTCTTTGTTAACTCTGTTTGATTTCCTGATATTCCTCTATAAGTGATATCACCTGACATTTTCTTTTTCTTTCTGACATATTTCACTGAGTATAGTCCTTTCCAGCTCCATACATGTTCCTGCAAATGGCATGAATTTCTCATTTTTGATTGTTGAGTAGTATTCTATTGTGTATATATACCACATCTTGATCCAGTCATCTGCTTTTTGGCGTTTAGGTTGTTTACATATCTTAGCTGTTGCAAATCAAATAGCACACAGTTTTGATTTCTGTAGGTAAATACATGTCAGGATGATAAAATGATTCCTTCTACATTGTTCTTCTTCAAGAAATTTCTTTAGCAATTCTATTCCCTTCACCTTTCCATGTAAATTTCAGAATAGTTATCTTTGTCTACAGGATATCTTGCTGGAGTCCTGATAGGAATTACTTTACATTTATAGATAAGTTTGAGGAGATTTGACACTTTCATTATGTTAAATTTTCCATGAACTCAATATGTTTCTATTTATTAAGATCTTTTAAAAATTTCATTATCGGTTTTGTAGAGTTTTTAATATGTGAGGCCTGTGCATGTATTACTAGATTTCCACCTGACTATATTTTTAGTGGTTATAAGCTATATTGTATTTAAATTTTCTCTTTCTGTGTGTATTCAGAGAACAATTGATCTGTATATTGATCTTGTATCCTGCCACCTTGATGGATTCACTTAATAGTTCTGAAAGTTATTTTTAGATCCTTCGGAATTTTCTGCAGAGACCTTAGATATTATGATCTTCAAATTGGGTCAGTTTTCTTTCTTCCTTTCTGGTTGGAAGGGCTTTTGTTTCCTT